TTCAGAGGGGACTTAGCTCCCTCCATTTGGCATGTGTAGACTAGCAAAGGAGTTATTTTTAGGCCCTGTCTTTCCAATTCCTTTGGCATGCTGAAGCAGTTAGGTGTTGGAAGGTTACTATTTCCCTCACTAGCCTACAGTAGCTCAAAAATCACTCTCTGCCCTAGACAAAAGTTACCTACCAACAGGTTTCCAGGATGTTTGCAAAATGTAACTTCAAAGCTAAAAAAAAAAAGTGCTTTCATTTCACCAGTTCTAACATTATTATGTGCAAGGCATAGTCTGGCTTCTGGAATTCACCCAGACACATTCCTTTTCAGGAGCTCACACTTAGTCCAGTGAGGGAGACGACCAGGCCGAGCCCATGGAAAACAAGGTAGAGTGTCACGGCAGCACAGTCAGTGAGGCTGTGACTGTTGCACATGGGTGTGGGCAGGCAGGCACTGTGAGGAGTAATCCAGAAATGAAAGGCTGACTCTTGAACAATGAATAGGAAACTGAGACAGGCAGAGGAAGGAAATTCCAGCCAGATGAAATCGCCCAGAACAGAAGATAGGGAGATACTTGGCCTTTCAGAGCACCAGCAAAACTGGGTGGATCTTAAAGTTGGTCCAGCCCCTTCATATGGCAGGGATGAGGACTCGAGTTAGGCACCAGACTCGAGTATCCAAGGGCTGAACCTTCACAGGCAGTGAATTTTCTGCTTAACACAGCATTACACATCATAAACCACTAGAATTTTTAAAAATATATATTTTATTGATTTTTTACAGAGAAGAAGAGAGAAACATCAATGAGAGAGAATTATGGATCAGCTGCCTCTTGCACACCCCCTACTCGGGATGTGCCGCAACCAAGGTACATGCCCTTGACCGGAATCGAACCCGGGACCCTTCAGTCTGCAGACCGACGCTCTACCACTGAGCCAAACCGGTTTCGGCAACCACTAGAAATTTTTTAAAAATATATTTTATTGATTTTGTACAGAGAAGAAGAGAGAGAGATAGTTAGAAACATCGATGAGAGAGAGTCATCGATCAGCTGCCTTCTGCATACCTCCACTGGGGATGTGCCTGCAACCAAGGTACATGCCCTCGACCGGAATCGAACCCGGGACCTTTCAGTCCCCAAGCCGATGCTCTATCCATTGAGCCAAACCGGTTTTGGCAACCACTAGAATTTTAAAATATATTTTTAAAATATATTTTTATTGATTTCAGAGAGAAAGGGAGGGAGATACATCAGCGATGAGAATCATTGATTGGCTGCCTCCTGCATGCTCCCTACTGGGGATCGAGCCCGTAACCCGGGCATATGCCTTTGACCACAATTGAACCTGGGACCCTTTTGTCTCCAGGACAATGCTCTATCCACTGAGCCACACCTGCTAGGGCAACAACTAGAATTTTTAAGGATCAAATAAATGCAAGCACCTAGACAGTGCCTGGCAAAGTTATTTCTTAAATTTTCTTTCAAGTCTTTAATTTCATTAAGCAGTGCTCAGATCCCTTACCTAAGTTAGCGGGTTAAATGGCTTAGGAACAGCAAGAGGGATAAAGGGGAGCAGGTTTGGGGGATGTTATGTAGGTTATGATGAGGTTCAGGCAACAACAGACAGTAGAAAGAAGAGTGAATAAGGGGTGAGTTGACACCTCAGTCCTGAACAAGGTCAAGAGAGGATGGGACTGAAAGACCAGGTTGTACACAAAACACTGAGTTTAAATTTAGGAGGGAAATGATCACAGGTGATAACTCATGAAAATTGTCCTAGGAGTGAACTGCAGTTAAAGGTCAGGTGAGCTTAAAAATTAAAGGACAATAAGCATCGGTAATGCAACAGACTCCACACAATGGAACTGGATGGTCTTGGGTGCCCAAATTCTCGGTGAGTGCGGGAGATACCATCTGGATATGGGTCCAGATTACTAGGAACTAAGAGTGTAAGTCCTACTCTGGTGGGTGGCTGTTAGTTGGAGCATTTCAGGTTTGATTCTAGGTCAGGATGCATACCTAGGCTGTGAGTTAAAACCCGTCAGGGCATGTAAGGGAGGCAACCACTTGATGTTTCTCTCTCACATTGATGTTCCTCTCTCTTTCCCCCTTCCTCTAAAATCAATAAACGTGTCCTCAGGAGAGGATAAAAAAAGTGTCTGGCTGGGGGTATATAAAGCAGAAGTGCTAATGTGTTCTGTGTGGGGAAGGGATGGAAGGAGGCAGTGATAAAGTACAAAAACTAACTAGTGAGAAATGTCTGGGGAAAAACAAATGTGATTTGAGAATCGTAACAAAAGTACAGCCCTTTAAAGGAAGTGGGTTTGTCCAAAAGGTATCATTTCCCAAACTTAACTTAGCCCCAAACAGCTTTCATGATGTTAAGGTTTATGTCCTGTACATTTTTTTAAATTTTTATTTTTTTATTGATTATGGTCTCATATAATTGTCCTTATTCCCCCATTCCCATCCCAAACCCCTCCCTAGATATGCCCCCCCCAACCCCCGTTGTCCATGGCCACTAGCTAGGCCCATATGCATGCACACAAGTCCTTTGGTTGATCTCTTCCCCTTACCCCCATCCTCCCTTATTTTCCCTCTGAGGTTTGAGAGTCTGATCGCTGGTTCTTTCTCTGGGTCTGTTTATGTTGTTCATTATTTCCTCTAGATGTGTGAGATCATGTGATCCAAGAAATATCCTTGTAAGAACCTAAACTGCAACAAGCCATAATGGTCATGCTGAGAGGCAAATGAATCAGTCTGTAGTGAGTTCCTTTCTGGGCCAACAGTTCTTTTGAATCCCAATGTCAATGCCAGATAGTTCCTTATGTGTACATGCCAGCCATGATTTCAGATCTGGTTGGTGGACAAATGGTGGTGATGCAGGTCCGCCCGTCTCTGGTTTTTTTCTTTAAATTGCCCAGTTTTCCTTTATATATTAGAAACATATCTAAGAAAGTGTATTTATAATAGAGGAAAGTATATTTAAATTTCGTGCATGGAAGGTGGGTGGGGGGTAGTTTCCTCTCAGCCCGGCCTGCATCCTCTCCAATTGGATATCCCTCTTACAATCTGGGACTGCTGGCTCCTAACTGCTCACTTGCCCGCCTGCGATTGTCCCTAACCCCTCTGTCTGCCTGATTGCCCATAACCTGCCTGCCTGATCGCCCCAAACTGCCTCTGCCTGCCTGCCTGGTTGCCCCTAATTGTCCCCCCCCCACCCCCCCGCTGACCTGATCACCCCCAACCACCCTCCCCTGCAGGCCTGATCTCACTCCCAACTGTCCTCCCCTGCCGGCCTATTACCCTTAAACTGCCTCTGCCTTGACCCCCACCACCATGGCTTTGTCCAAAAGGAAGTTGGACATCCGGAAGATGTCCCGTTGACCCGACCTAATTAGCATATTACTCTTTTAGATTATATAGTATAGGATTGCTTAAACGGGGGAAAGCCTTTCTCAGCAGGTGATGCTCTTTGCAGACAAACACACATAATCCTATATCTGGACTGATAGCTAGCCATATGCATTATACTATACTGCCAAACTGGTTATTAAAAAATTGAATCACTTTCTTATACCTTACATCCAACAGCTGTTGCCCTTAACCCCTCCTCAGCCCCCACCTTAGGCTCTGCCTTCGCAGTTCATCCAGCTTAGGTTCTGATTGGTTGGTTTCTATGCCAGTCAGCATCAAAAGCTCTGCCTCCTAGGCAGCCATTGGCACTTCTGGGAAATCCAGAACAGCAGGCTGACAGCTGTCTCTGTCCAGGCCTGACCCCTGGCCTTCTCAGCAGCTGTTGCTAAGGCCCCACCTCTTTCTCTCTGGGCCTTGGTAGCAGCTGCTGTGGCTGCAGATCAGGCCCTGTCTCTCTCCCTGGGCCTCTCTAGGCTTGATCTGCAGCCACTGCAGCAGCAGTGAGGTCGTTAGGTCTCTGGCCAGCCACAGGCTAATGACCTTGATGTGCCTGCCCTGCCCGCCTTGTTGTGATAGGAGCCTGTGGGATGTAGGGGTGGGACCGAAACTCCACTCACTTCCTAGTGACCAGCTGACCATCTGGTCATTCAGCTCGTGACGGCCCTTGGCTGCTATTAGTATAGATACCAGCAGGAATCACGTCCCAAAAACTGTACATAGTATTGGAGTCACACACACTCTGAAGATACTAATTCGAGGCAAGGAGACAGGTTACTAAGCCAACTGCTGCTGAGGTGCATCTCTTCTCCTCCCACCACACCTTCTTAATCCGTTTATGTTTGTCTCCAAAGTGTCCTAAATCCAAATCCTCTCAATAGCCTTTCCGGCCCACTCCACCTTGGTGAACCGCAGCCATCCAGGAGATCCGTAAACTGTATGTAGTGCTTCTGGACCTATTGCTGCTTGCTCTTATGGACTGGGCACAGGTGCTCACTATGTTCTCTTTACCTGGCACTTTACCAAGACCTTAATACTGCTTCATCAGGGTCTCAAGAAAAATACATGCCCATAAACAAATCACAATTCCTCATCTCTAAAATTCAAGCACAGAAAAAAGAAAAAACAAAAACAAAAACCCCAAACCCTCAAGTCCAAACTTTTAATGACTAAGATCTTTTGCTGGGCCAGTGTGGCTCAGTGATTGATCATCAACCCTTGAACCAAGAGGTCACTAGTTCATTCCCAGTCAAGGCACCTGCTGCAGTGGCTGGCTTAATCCCCGCTGGGAGGCATGCAGCCAATTGATGTTCCTCTTTCATTCAAGTTTCTCTCTATCCCTGATCATTCCTCTCTCTAAAATAAAAGATATTAAAAAAAAAAAAAAAAAACCTTCTAGATTCATTCAACTGAATCTCCAATTAATGCTGATTACTTCTGGCCACCTACTACCTGCCCCAATAAATAGCATCTTCTAGGTTTACTTCAAAATTCTGTATGTTCAATTCACCTTTAAGGCTCAGATGGTCTTTTAAATAGGGAAATGGAAGGAGAAAAAGACGTGACACTTTACTTAAATAATGCAATATTCCACATTTTAAAAGTTTCCTGAAAACTTTTATTGTAATCAAAAAGTGACATAACGGGGTTGTAATGAATTCAGCAAATCATTCTGCTGATATTTAGAACTGATATCAGCTTTTGCCAGGCAATTAAAAAATTCAAATGTGAAAATTTCACAGTACAGTAAACTCCACCCCAACTAATTACTGGTGGTTAAAAATAATAGGTCCTAGCAAAACCTCTCATGTTACATGGTCACAACTCACAATTCTGTACAAAAGTTCGTGTTATAAAGCTCTGATGTAAAAATCAAATAATCAAGCAGCAATATTTTAAGTGCAGCACAGGGTCTTCCATATCATTATTTACAAGGCTTGAATCTCTTTACATTATAACAAAATTTAATACAGATGACTTAGTAATTAAGTCAATTTTAAAAATCTGTCCTCCTACACAGTGACAGATTTCACTTTTTGGTCATCTTTTTCCTTCTCCTTCTCCTTCTCCTTCTCCTTTTCTTTATCTTTATCTTTATCTTTGCTCTTCTTTGATTTCTTTTTCTTGTGTTTGTGTTTCTGGCTTTTTTCCAATTCTGCTTCAGGGCCCGCATGCTTCTTATGCTTCTTATGTTTTTTATGTTTCTTGTGCTTTTTCTTTTCCTTCTTCTTCTTCTTCTTCTTGCTGTCCTGACTCTCTGCCGAGCTGGCACTGCTACTGTGGCTTCGAGTTTGGCTTCCCGAAGGGCTGTGGCTCCCACTGGGACTGACACTGGGACTGCTGTGACTCTGGCTCCTGGTGACGCCGGCCTGGCTGGCTGCTGCTGTGTCCGGGGTCTCTTTCACTTTCTCTACGACTTTATCTTTCAGTTCCTTAGAAATTTTCCCCGAAGTATCTTCCTCTTTTATTACGGATGCATTGCTTTCACTGTCACTTTCATTATAATCTGGTTCAAAAGCAGCTTCATCAGTTTCTCTAGTTAAGTCAGAGCAAAGTCGAGAGGAGTGACTTAACTGGGGTTTAGGCTTGGTAGCACTCTTATCAATTTGCACAGCAACCTGCTCTTTTTCAGTCTGTGGGTCTGGTGGATTAAGGATATGAAGTAATTTATTGCCACTGGACTCTTTACTGTTCCTTGTTTCTAACACATGCTTCTCACGATCCTTACCGGGATTTTTATCTACAGATTTTGTCTCTTCACTTAAGCGTTTAGTATCAGAAGTGGCTTTATGATCATGAGGTTTTTTGTCTCTTGAGGGACTAGAATTACTTTTTTTGGAATCTCCTGTTCCTTTTTTAGGCAAATCTCTTTCCTCCTTTGGCTTAGTTTTCTGTCCAGATGCAGAATCTTTGCTCCGAGAAGGAGAGTCTTTTCTTCTTGTTGATTCATTCCGTTCATCTCTTCGTTTGGAACTTGAATAGTCTCTGCTGTCATAGTCGGATTTCTTGTCTCTACTGGGAGTAAAGTCTCTACTTGAGGAACCTCTAGTGGAATCATGCTTATCTGAAGTTCTAGTCTCTTTGGAAGATTGAGACAAACTTTTAAAACTACCTTGTTCATTGAGACGGTCCAAATTACTATCTTTCTCTGGCTGACTGCTGCTCTTCCTCTTTTCAGGATTTTCCTTCTCCAACACTGAATGATCTCTCTCTTTGGTTTTCCCTTTTTCACTAGATACAGAGTTTTTTGAACCTTTGACCTCGTGTTGTATGATTTCATGGCTCACTTCCTTGGTGAGTTTTGGAAGCTTCTCTGCTGGCTCGCTTTCTTTTTCAGTATACTTGACTGTATTTGATGGTTTAGTGCTAACGTTTTTTATAACACTGGCAGGTTTTCCTACACTTGATACAGGCTGTGTGGCTTTAACATCTTCTTCCTCAGATTCAAAGTCATCTTTATCCCATTTGGACTGAGGAACCTGAATCATAATAATGACATCTTCAGCAGGAGCTGTATTGTCATTATTATATTCTTCCATAGTTTTGATAACAGTTCGCTTTGTATCTGTTTTTTCTTCAGATTTTCTCACAGGACTGCCTCCAGTTGAACTCGTACTAAAAAGAAATAATTTTCAATTAATGAAGAATTTGCTTTTATTAAAACACTGATAAGTATAAAAAGGCTAATACATAATGTTTTTTTTGCCCCGGTTCATGTGGCCCAATTGTTTGGGCAATGTCCCATGCACCAAAAGATTGTTGGTTCAATTTCCAGTCAGGGCACACAGCCAAGCTGTGAGCTCAATTCATGGTGTGGGGTGTGTGCGCACGCATGTGCATGTAGGAGGTAGCCAATTAATGTTCCACTCTCACATTAATGTGTGTCTCTCTCTCTCTCTCTAAAAAAATCAATGAAAATATTTTTAAAAACGTTTAACTTTCAAAAGGGATAAGTCTACTCTAACAGATATAAATGACTTAAGCAATGATTGCATAAAAAAAAGTGACTCATCCCTAAAAATGACTTATAAGCTTATCTTTAAAGTAAACCAACCCAATACCTAGTATCAAAACACATTAACATATTCTGCTTTTAAAAAAAAATCCCCTCCCAAAAACACCCACCCACCCACCCGTCCATATCAAATACCTAGTATAGTCCACAAGAGTGGAGCTGGATCCTTCAGTTCCAGTTACTTTTCGTCTGACCTTTCCTTTGACTTTTTCTTGTTTAACTTTGCTAGATGTTGACTCCAATTTTTCAGAGGTCTCTTTTGTATTAGATATATTTTCTGTACTTCCAATTTTTTTACCAGTTTCTCTGTTGAGCTTGATTTTTTTGGTTGGGGCTGTTGATGATGAACTTTTGTCCTTTTCAGGGGTCCTATCCATCTTTTCAATATCAGGTTCCATTTTGCGTTTTGGTGATGGCTTCAGTATTTCAGTTACTTCGAGTTTAGAGATTTTCATTGAAGAGGATTCAAAATCTTTCTCTGCACCTTTTTCTTCAGTTTTCCTTTTTCTTTTTTCTCCTTTGCTGTCAGGAGGCTTACTTTTCTCAGTAGGCTTCTTGGCCTTGTCTTCCTTACTAGTTAGTTTTTCTGATTTGACATCTTTGGAATAGTCTTTCTTCACTTTTTCTTCTTTGACAGGTTTTGACTCTTGGTGTTCTTTTGCTGACTTAGAGTGAGCCTTTCTGGGAGTGCCAATGGCCTTTTCATCTTTTTGAGAGGATGATGATGATGACTTAGCACTGTCAGTCTTTGGAGTCTCCTCTTTGGCTTTTTTAAGTGGAGGTTCAGATCGAGGAGATTTTTCACGTTCTCCCTCTAGTTTTTCTTGGGATCCCTTAGCAGGTTTTACATTTTCTTTTTTGGACACAGAAGCAGCATCATTTTTTCGTTTGGTCTTGTCTCCTTTTGCTTTTGGCTTATCTTTCTCTCTCCTGTCCTTTTCAGACATTGATTTAAAAGTGATGGATTCTGCATCCATTGGTTCATCTCTAACTGGTGTAGCATCATCTCTACTCGGAAGAACAAATAACGAGTCTGTTTTATTTTCTTCGCCACTTGTAGGTTCCCTTGTTTTTCTAGAAGGTTCTAATAACTCTGGGTTTAGAAAGCCTTCACTTTCCTCCCCCTTTCTTCGCCTTCGATGTTTCTTATGTTTACTTCCTTTACCATCTCCTGCAGCACCATCGCTCTCCTTCTCTTTTGACTTTGTACTATCCTTCTGATTGTGACTGTCTCTTGTTGAAAGCTTTTCTGGATAGTTGCCACCACCTATGTTTCGACTTCTATGACTTTGTCCACCCGAATAATCTTCTCTGCGGCCCCTTGTAAAGGGAGAATTCCTGATATTAAGTGGCAATAACCTCTCTGGAGAAAAGTTCTCTCTATTTGCCGATGGTCGAGGCTGTGCTCCAGCAGCATAACCTTTGTAGTATTTTTCATACCACTCTCTGTATTTTCTCTCCCATTCTCGGTAACGCTCTTTTTCAAATGGGTCTCTAAAGTCAACAGTCCTCCCATAATAAGCTTTTATGTCATATGGCGGTGGAACTTCTCTGTATCTGTTAAAATATTCACGTTCTGTTTCCCCTTGTGGTACAGTGCGTTTATTTGGAGACTGTCCCCTAAATGCTTGAGGGGATCTTGATCGTGAATGGTATCGTCTGTAAAGTGGTGACCTGGACCTAGATCGATGATATCCATGAGATCTAGACCGTGAGCGGTAATTTCGACTCTTGCCTCTGCCTCTTCTGGGGTATGGAGGTGATCTCGAATAGGAACGAGAGTGTGAGCGGCTAAATGATCGAGAATAAGAACGTGACCGCGTTGAACCAGATCTTGATTTAGAGTAAGTATAAGAACTTCTGGAGTATGAGGAACCACTATAAGGAGATTTAGACCTAAAAACAAAAAACAAAACAAGTTGGACAGTTGAGAAATATATACAAAATAAAACATAGACTCTCAGATTCTAGTATGCTTCTCCTCAGGGTTCAATCTTTAAATCAAATTTCATCTTGGATGATTAAAAAGGCACAGTGGCCTTTTATTGGAATGAAATAAAATACACTATGCAAAGGTCAGATCAATCATTTGTTACAAAACAAAAGTGAAATCCTAACAATTAGAGTGAAGTGCATTAATGTACCGTGAGATATATGAGCTAATAAACTTAACATTTAAAAAATTGCCAATTACATTTAAATTTTACTTTCTATTTGCTCATTTAAGAATGAGCAATTTCTTTTGTCCTATGTTGGCCAATATAATCTATCATAGCTTTAAAAGAAACCGCATTTCAAATGTAAGCTTAAAAAATAAGTCTTTTAAACAAACTTCCAGGGAATTTTTATACTAATTTTTTTTCTATCAATAAAGCAACTTATGTTCTATCATACATCATAATTACACAGGTTAATGTTCCAGCAAGAAGCTGTAGCCTTAAGTAGCAGTGTCCTCAGATATGTGCTTTTGGCTATTCCCCTATTTCTTTCCTTCCACAAACATTTCCCAATTATTTCACACTATAAGTAAGTTTAAGGGACAAGGGTACTTTAATCCCCAGTAACTGCTAGCTCCATACAATGGAATTGACACTGAGACATTATTTCAATAAAAGGATACTGGGGAGTAAGCTACGTCTCCGTTTCTATATATATATCTAGACCGAATTAGAAAACTCCACAAGTGCAGTGTTACTTATATCCATAGCTAATCCCTGGAGAGGCAAAGTCCCATTTGTAATTCTGTTGTGAAGGCTTGCAAAACACTAACCTGGAAAATGAGCGCCTACGCTCCTTTTGAATCTTTTTGTATTCCATCAATTCCTTAGCAAAATCATTTGTAAACTCATCTAGCTTGGACTTTTTCTTTTCCCTAGTAAAATAAAGTTAAAGAGTGAAAGTTAACAAAAACCATTAAGAAAACTAACAAGACAAATGTAATTAGACCATGAATGAAATGAATGAAATTGCCATTAGTTTTCCACTTTAAAACTACAGATAACTAGGAATCCCTGAGGAAGTTGCTTGTATGGCTTTGGTTCGATTTCTACGTGATTTTTCTTGTACTAAATGGAAACAATGGAAAATGTTTCCATAGATACCTGCTTAAGGTTACATCAGAAAATGAAAGTGTATAATTTCAAATGAACACACTTACTCTTCTTTTAGCCGTCGCTGCTCTCTATAGAATTCTTCCCTGGACAGAGGTGGTGCTTGTGTTGTTGGGATGGCATTTGAATGAGCAGTCTGCACTCCTGATGATACCCAAGGTGTTGATAAATTGGCTGGTGCTGGAGGGAACCCTGGGGGAGGGACACTATACCCAGCAGGTGGTGGCTGGCCAGGAGGAAACTGAGGAGAAAACTGTGGTGGAGGAACACCTGGGGGGAGAGGCAGTGTATGTGGAGGAGGTGGATACAGAGGAGGGGGTGGAACAGGCACAAAAACTGGAGTTGCTGGTAGTGATGGGCCTTGAGTTCTCTGTGATCTTTCGCTGTGGTGTCGTCCACGGTTTATACTTCTAGAGAAATAAAAATTCCAAGATGTTATTCCTTTAAACTAAAATCACCTGAGATAAGTAAGCTTGTCTTTTCTATCTGTAATTATTTTCAAACTTTAATCAATGGATTAGAATAAGGACACTGATATCACTTATATGTACCATCACTTACATATAAAAATAATTATAAAGACTACGTAAGGACTGAAATAATGTAAGTATACATTATACAGCCAAGGTATACTTAGAAGTTCTCTTTTGTAAAGTTCAGATTTATTATCACCTTACAACTATCTCATTAGTTCCTAATTTTTCCTTTAAAGGAACTAGCTGACAGGTTACTACTTCTGTAATATAGGCACTTAATTCTTCCCAAAATGTCTTCCCAGACCAAAAGTTTAAAAGAAGGAAAAACACTTCCTATAATCTTTTTGAGGGAAGAAGTGGGTAAAGACCCTTCAAAGTAGAATAAATTACTAGTTTTAACATTTGTAATGAGTAATTGAAAATTACACTGCTTTCTCTCAAAGGTTTAGGTCAAATAACAGTGAAGCCCAAAGTTTCTGATTTGTGCCTCATCGAAGTAATAATGGCTTCTTTAAAACTGTGGGGTTCTTGCCCTGGCTAAAGTGTCATTCCATACACTGAAGGGTTTCGGGTTTGATTCCCAGTCAAGGCACATACCCAGGTTGCGGGTTTGATCTCTGGTTGGGCCACTTGCGTGAGGCAACCGATCGATATTTCTCTTTCTCTCTCTCTCTTCTTCTCCCTCTAAAATCAATAAAAAACAGCCTCAAGTGAGAATTAAAAAATAATGATAAGAAGATAAAATAGTGGATTTCTTTCTGTTAAACTAATGATTTTTTAAATTATAGCTAATACAAAGTAGTGGCAGGAGGGGTGCTTAGATTTTAAGCCTCTTTTCAGAGTCTGATTTAGTAAATATTATCTTCCATTAATGTGATCTATATGAAGTATTAGTTAACTTTTAGAAGCTTAACAACTCTTAATGGAGCACTAGAAAATACAGTAAAACATTGATATAACAGATTAATTTGGGCAAGGGGCTGTCCATTAAAGTTGGAAGTCCATTATACAGTTAAAAATAAAGTAGGTTTTTTTGAATATGTCTGACAAAAAAAACTGTTGTTTTGTAGAGATGTTTGTGTATTTAAAGTTAAGTATGCATGAAAATTTAATTTCACAGAAAAGTCTTTAAATTTATAATAGGTAAAGCAAATGTGTGCATTCACCAGTTACTGAGAATAAACAAACACACATGCCTGGGGCATGGCTTAGCATGTGAGAACATGGGCTGGCATGTGTGAAAACTGCTGCAGAAAATCATGCTACATGATAACAATCATGCAATACAGTATGGCCATGTATGATTTACAAGCAGTGACTCTTGGACTTAAAAATGTAGACTTACAATTGAAGATATGTAGTATTTATTTATGTTGGCAAAATTACTAGTGTTTTTTCCAACAAATGGCCTATTTGATAAAATTTGTTAAAATTTATGGTGCATTAGTAACAAAAATAACCTGTTAACCTAATTATAAACAAATCTTGGTTAAAAGCATTTAAAAATTAAGAGTATTAATTTTCATCTATGACCTACAAACAGGAAATTTTGTTTGTTAAGTCGAGGTCCACAAAATCGAAGGTTTACTCTACCTTTACTAATCCCATCAGAAAGGGAACTTGGAGAACCCTTTACCCTGGTGGTGTGTGAGTATGACCTATTTACTTCTTAGATTAATGCTGCTTGTTCCCATGCAGGGCACGAGCCCTTAACATTCTCCTTGTCTCTTCTTTTAGAAAAGAAACCAAAAAGATTGGGACAATTGAGTCTAGAAGAGAGATAAATACAATGCTACACACTTGGAAACTTTGGGTGCTGAGCTGGTTAACTGAAACAGGATCTGGGCCTTAATTACTTTCTTCTACCCTCAAAAGAGTAAACGTAAGCCAACAATCTGCTGTGTGCTGACAGGGAGAAAGCAGTTGATTGATGATGGGAAGGAGCCTTAAAAACTGTAATTAAACTACTAATATAATCCATTTTTCCTAGACCTCTTAAGGGCAACTACTGAGTAAGTGTAAACCATAATTGTGCTTTAATTTCTCTGTTATATTTTTGAGTGTTATCATCAGATTAGTGTCTTTTAAGAATTTCAGCATTCCTACCTGTAGCAACTCCTCTCTCCCCTCCTAATTTGCTGTGGTGGAGAAACCAGATATCCAAGCTTGTTGGAACTGTATGAAAAGAAAGATAAAATAAGCTTGATTATAACACATTACCTTTTAGTGTGTATACATTAACTTTACTCTGAAAACATTTCTTACTGTCTGTTCCCAACTCTTACAAGTTCCAGATAGAGCAGTTATGAGCAAGCATAACATTTACTTAAACTAATTTTTCTATTATAATATATTGGAACAATAATGATACCTCAATATAGAATATTTTCTGTAATATTATATTCAATTAGCATTCCATAAATTAATCTGTGAACTCATTATTACAGAAAAGGAACAAAGCCCTTCACCTGCCAGGCACTGTGTAGGCATTTTATTTTTATTTTTATTTATTTATTTTTTAATATATTTTATTGATTTTTTTATGGAGAGGAAGGGAGAGAGATAGAGAGCTAGAAACATCGAACAGCTGCCTCTTGCACACCCCCTACTGGGGATGTGCCCGCAACCAAGGTACGTGCCCTTGACCGGAAACGAACCTGGGACCTTTCAGTCCGCAGACCGATGCTCTACCACTGAGCCAAACCGGTTTCGGCATTTTATATGTTGAGGTGGGCAGTACCAATCTACTTCTATAGATAAGGAAATAAGGCTGAGAGGTGTCCCACTGCCCACTATCATATCGCTAGTAAATGGAAGAGCTGGGATTCAAACCCAGGTCTACCTGGCTCCAAATCCCACATTTTCCCTGCTAATATATTCCATTAGTCTCTCATTTAAATTTTTTATAAAAGATATTAATACTTGGTTTATCTTTCAAGCAATAACAACAAAATCTAAGTTTTAGAATATAAGCCAGGCCATACAAATACATAAGCCTGTTATTATGAATTATATAAGCAAAAATGACTGTATATATAAAAAGATAGTAAGTAAATCTACTGATTTTTATTTATTTAATTAATTTATTTTTTAAAGCAATTAAAAAATATATATATATATTTTATTGATTTTTTACAGAGAGGAAGAGAGAGGGATAGAGAGTTAGAAACATCAATCAGCTGCCTCTTGCACAACCCCTACTGGAGATGTGCCTGCAACCACGGTACATGCCCTTGACCGGAATCGAACCCGGGACCTTTCAGACCGCAGGCCGACGCTCTATCCACTGAGCCAAACCGGTTTCGGCAATCTATCGATTTTTAATATGCTATAAGAAGATGCAATTTCTTTGTATTTCAGGGCAGAAAACCATATAGATACTAATATGCAGTAAAATTACACTAACAGACTATTAAAAATGAGAAATTTTGTGTTGTGTGGGCTTTAATCTCAGAATGTATCAAATTTGAACATCCAAATTAAAACAGGAAGAAATTTAATCAATTAGCATAGTGAGTCAGTATTTAAACTATTCTTTCAAGTTATTCTTATCTATTCATTAACTGAAGTCCTGTCAAGATCATCATTTGTTAGGACATAAAAATAAAAGGAATTGTTAAGATTTTAAATTTTAGAAAAGAATTACTCATTCTTTTAGAAAAGAATTCTTCATAATTTTGAACTTGTGATATTTTACATAAAATCATGTTAACATGACATGTAAGAGTTTACAAGACATTCAGCAATACACTGTCTAGGTTATAGTTTCTATTATCTAGATCAAAGCAATCAGCTGAAGATTTTTTTAAACATATACTTACTGCTCCCAACCTGGTCGACCACCACCTGGACGAGCAGCATTTATTCTTACTGGACCTTGGAAGCAAAAATAAAACCAGTAAGTAAATATAATATTGTGTTTAGAAAAAGTTAAAGAAAAAAATGTTCAAACCAGAATGATTATACTCACCAGTTGTAGGGATCAACTGTCCATGCAATAATGACTGTCCAAGCAAAGACGGGGTTCCAAGCACAGGCACCTGGTAACCCTTTAGGAAAAAAACACATAAATAAAAAAATAGTTTTTAACAAATAGTTAAACAAACGATCAAGCACCTCAAAACAGAAAAACTCTATGGGGGAGTGGGTGCTGGTTAGAAAGAGCGAGTGCCTTAAGTGGGGGAAGCTAGGACTCATGACGGAGGGATAGGAAGGGGCCATCTGTGGGAACCTGAGGGCCCACCTGGGGCAAGCACCCTCCCACCAGTAGCTCCCCAGATGCTGGATCAGGATGCCTGGCCCTGTGTCCAGAAGGGACCCTCCTGTGGTCTTTGTCTTGATCTTTCTTAATAAATGATGCTATCCACGCAAAACCAAACAAACAAACAAACAAACAAAAAACAAAACAAAACAAAAAAAACACAGAAAAACTCTGTTAAAAAAAAAGTCCACAAATTTAAAAGCCAGTAAAACTTACCTTCTCCTCCATAAGAGCAGTAATTGCTATTGAAGAGGTTCCCTTTGAATGTTCTGAGGCAAGGGCTGCAGCTGGCAACATTTTATTATCGGGATCCCTAAAAAACAATAATTTACAATACACCAAAAAGTTATCAGACATGGAGGATTAAGAGTAAAAGTTACAACTGTTTTTCATTCTTTGCACTACGATGAGTTAAATCAAAGATGTTGAAAACTTCCGAGGAAGGTGAGAGACTGGACTTTTGGATTACTTCACATACAAGGGAAAAGTAAAAAGAAACCTCCTTAAGAAGCACCATCAAGGATTTATGATGGATAATGATAGAAATCAGTACAGTTAAAACAATAATAAAGCTTAAAAAAAAGAAGCTCAAAGTGTGGGAACACACACACACACAATATAGGATCAAGATTAAATTCTACCTCTAAATCTGTCAATAAATTAAAGGGGGCAATTTTCAGATAATCCGATGAACTCTGGGCTTTATTCCCACTGTTAACCAAATGAAAGGCTAACCTACCTATCAGTGGGATTTCTTACATATACATGTGAAGGTCCCACACCTCAAGATTTTGCTTCAGTGTGTCTGAAACAGGCCCCTGGCATCATTCTATACACCAAAGGCTGTGTGTTCTGCTGCCAGTTGAGGCCTCTTCTGGATGCAACCCATTGATGGGTTATTTTTTTCCTCTCCCTCTCCAACATCAATTAAAAAAACCAAAAAACCAACATATCCTCCGGTGAGGATAAAAAAACCCCAACAATTGACAACTGGCTGACCTTTTAAGTATTTATGAACTGCTAGATTATATGGTCAAAGGTCACTTTTATTTTTTAAAAGGAAATATTTAAGTGAGTCTTCACTACTTTTCTAAGTAATTATGCTCCAAAACAATGATCATTGCTGACCTCTCTACCTCTACCAATGTGTTATGCCCCCTTCCTTCGCCTTCTAAATTGTTCTTAGTTCTGCTCACATTTGTTCATTTCCCATACATTAGTATGACCACAAGTAAAGTGTCACCCTTGTGGACTACAGAGCTGTTATGGGATACAATTCAACAATAGGGGGTGTTGGCAACCTGCAGTTTTTTACTTTGGGATGTTCAATCACTGCTAATCAATCTCCTTCGTCTGCCTCTTTCTCCAATTAAGATTAAGCCATTTCTTATGAGTTCCCCACCTTGCTGAACACAGTGGTCCACAAGGACATACAAACTGCAGGTCACTAAAGCAACTATTAAAACAATACACATAAAAACCACATTACTGATCTCACTTGTTTCCTAACACTGGGAAATCCAGACTTACCGGAAAGGCCCATCTGATTTTTCTGAGTGGACCGATATGGAGACCGTTGCAGTTATATCAGGTACAGGCGCTGGGGTAGATGAATTTCCAGGCACAGCAGGGGCTAAAGAAGACTGATTAGAAGCTAATGAAGATATAGAGGGAGCCGGGTGACCTGAAGATGTCACTGGAATCATCAGAGGATCCTGTTGTCTTGATATTGGAGATCTCATCAGAGGTTGTAGATTCCGCTGCATGAGTGGTCTCGGAGGCGGTATTGGAGGTGGTGGTGGTAACTGTTTCCGTAGTCTTTTTGTATAACCAGTTTCATTTTTGAAGTTATTAACAGCCTAGATACCAAACATAAAAATGCAAAAAAAGTGTTTATGCAAGTAGTTAAATCAATTAAAAGATTAATTTTTTTCCCCCATAAAAATGTTATTGTAAAAGGAATAGAAAGACAGCTACCTGTCGTAAGAATTTATTGGCAATTAAAGCATCAGGAGAGACATCATTTTGATGACACGTTGGGCATGTATGGTCCTCTGATTCCAAGAGTGCTGTTCTTATACCTATATATAACATTTTAAATATTAATGAAAGTGTACTACTGTCCAGTTACGTTACTGTTTTCCAAGCACATATCACTAATCATTTCTAGTCTCTTGCCTCATAGCACTCTAACTTCTTTCTGCCTTAAAAACAGAAATCATGAATATAATTTAAACATTTAAATTTTTCAAAAACAGCATTCTTTCTCAAATACTTTTCTCTTTGTTGAGCTAATAATTGGAATATTACAGGAAAAATTAGTCTTAAAAAAAGAATTTATATGGCTTACTAGGGTTTTATAAGAAACAGAAGCGTTATTCAGTCAAAGAAACCAGAGACATCTATAGCACAGTAAGTAGGAATAACAATGAATTACAGGTTCACTGATTATGTTCCAGTGTAGTAAAAAAAATTCAGTAACAAGTGGTTTGCTAAATCCAAGACATACTCTGAAAGAAGTCTTAAGTGACTTCCTCTCTTGACCTTAGTCACTATGAGGCCCCCCAATACAGATTTATAGTTCAAAACTATCTTTAGAAATGAAAAAGGCCAGAGCAGTGAAGTTTTCAGATGGTAACATTTTTATTTCAGTAAGAAGGAACAAACTTAAGATGAGTGGCAGAAAATAAAAAAAGTGCTAAGTATCAGAAAGAAAAGCCATAAGTAACCACATGGCAAAATGTTAGTATTTATTTACAGAGAGCGGTTCTAAATCACACTTAGGAATTACCTTTTCACTTAAAGGAAGCACTTTCTGGCTTCTTTTTAGTGTATGTGAATTGCCAGCATACCTACTCTTATGCTATGGGGCCATCATTAAATAAAATAAAGTTGACTTGAATACAAGAACTCTGATGCCATGACAGTAAGATGATAACCAATATAGCTATTAAGGGACTAATGGGAGGGAAGTGGAGACACTGGACAAAGGGATGGTTCATGTCCCAGGTGGGACAAAACTGCTAAGCATGAGATTTTATCACGCTATTCAGAACACTGCACAACTTAAAACTTATGAATTGTTTATTTCTGGGATTTTCCATTTAACTTTCAAACTGTGGTTAACCCTGGTAAACTGAAACTACAGTGAAACCTTGGGTAAGAGGGAGGCCACAAAAGATATCTTTCACATCTAAAAGTATCGGCAGATTACCTAAGGCCTGTCTGGTTTGGCTCAGTGGATAGTGTGTCGGCTTGCTGACTAGTGTCCCAGGCTCGATTCTGGTCAAGGGCACATGCCCAGGTTGTGGGCTCGATCCCCAGTAGGTGGGCCTGAATGAGGCAGCAAATCAATGATTCTCATCATTGATGTTTCTCTCCCCCCCCCCCCTCTTTCTCTCTCTCCTTTCCTCAATAAAAAAATAAACTTATTTAAAAATAAAAAATTTTAAAAAGGGGGATAAAATGTATAGGAAACAAGAATCCTGCGTTTCCTAAAACCTCATCACAGCCAGTCACCCTAACGAAGGTATTGGTTAATTCAAATATTAAAAGAACAGAGAGGCTGTTGCTTAGAAAGAGAAAAATGTAGCAGCAAAAGCTGAGTTCTCATTAAATGCTCAATAAATTATCAACATTTCATATCTTATTAAAATTCACAGTGTCGCTAAGTGCCTTTCCAAGTAAAACAGCTAAACCTTAAATGTGAATCTGAACTGCATGGGTCTACTTATACATGGATTTCCCTCCAATAAATATGTACAGTACCGTAAAGGTATTTTCTCTCTTATGATTTTCTTAATACCATTTTCTCTTCTCTAGCTTACTTTATTGTAAGAATATAGAATATAATATATGTAGCATACAAAATATATATTAGTTGACTTTTTTGGGCAAGGTTTCTAGTCAATAGTAGGCTATTAACAGTTACGTTTTGGGGGAGTCAAAGTTATACTTGGATTTCTGACTGTGCAAGGGGTTAGTTATAACGCCCCTAACCCCCATGTTGTTCAAAGGTCAACTGTATAATATTCTAAAATGTGTCTTTGAAGGACGAGCATGCCTTACATTCATCACAGTAGCTGTTTCCACAGCAGGGAATGACAACGGCATCGGTCATAATGTCTTTGCAGATGAGACACAGCAGCTCATCTGGGATAGGGTCGTCCTCTTCAGAAGATGAAGAGCGCTCCTCTGGTAAGAAAGGCGGCTTTTCTTTCTTCCCAATTGCATATGCTTCTCTGTAAGAGAAGGTGTTAGCATTTTAACACTGGTCAGAAGGAAAAGTATTTCTAAGACATTTACAAATTCCACTATATCCATAAAGGGAACTTATGCCTAATAAGTACAATGCCTAATTAGTTACATGAGTATAGTATCTTCCAAAATAAGGGAGCAATTATTACTTTCCATCTAACCAACAAAAAGACATAAAATTCTCAACAAGTATACCAAAAGAAACAAAGAAATGCTATGAAAGTGGCTGAAAGGATCTTAGAATCCACAGCTCTAAGAACTGAGGGCCAGAAGGTAAAATGACACATTCAGTGCCACAGAAGGATTCGAATTTAGACATGGCAATACCCTGATCACATTTTCCTACCCTACCAGGTTTCCTGGGGGGTCAAAAAAACAACAACAAAAAACATCCCTCCACAGTCTAACAGTCAATACCTGTAAAGGTAATTACTGTGAATGCCATAATATGGGAAACTAAAACTTGTAAAATTAAGGGGAAATATTATGTCACCAACCTCACCAATAATTAGTGGCCAGTGATCTACTTATTAGTATTTTAAAAGAAATTTATCCATTTATAGTCAATTTTTACTTAAATGATTAGAATATGCTACAAAAATTTAAAGTAAAACCTGCAGAAATGTTGGATATTAAATATATTAAAAATATATTAAAAAACAAACAAAAAAAAACAAAACATGCTACTCTCAGACTCATCACCACTGCGTCCAACACCCCCATCTTCTCTGTAATCAGGCAAACTTGAAAAACAGGAATTCCTAGAGAAATTTCCTATCTCATTAAGGAACAGAGTGTGTTATCTCAGCTGGACAGAGAAGGTACCTGAGGTGTGCTATTTGTGTTGCAGCTGCTCCATAGACATCACCACGATTCCAGAAATAAGTGTCAATTTGCTTATGCCCCACTGTTCCCAATTTGTGAAAGAGGAGTCTCCCACTGCCCGAGAGAGAAAAGAAAGAAAAAAAAAAAAAAAAAAAGGAGAGGATAGAAAAAGAAACAGAAGAAGAATCTGAGTTGCTTATTAGTGGTGTTAATGGAGAGGGTGAAAGTTTTAATTAAAATATTTGGGCTCCCATTTTCCCCAGCATTTGCTGCATGTTTGACATAAATGTTTTTTTGTTTTTTTTTTGTATTTTACCATTCAAAAACAATGAATTATTAACTCTGGTTCACAGGTGATGCTCATTTTTCCAACACAAATATCCATTTAAATACTTTATTTCTGTATTTTATTAAGATGAAGCGGTCTGCTCTTAAATTATGTCTGTAAAGAATAATTTCAACCTAAAATTGGAAGCATGTATGAAATGTCTGAAATAGAAACAGCATAATAGGCTGCTCTAAAATGAACCACAAAAATACAAGATGGTAACCAATAAAAAACCAGATGGGGGTGAAGTTAAGAAAGTGAGCAAGGCTGGGAACTTAGGAAAACACTAATTCTTATCTGTGAACTAAAATGTTTACTGAAGTACCTATTCAAAAACACTAAATCTTTTCAGTCCCATTCCATGGCATAGCCATTTTCATTGTCCTCCTCGGCTCACTACACTACTTTCAACAATATAGCAAGAAGCTGAGGAAAACTGTGTTCTTACATACAATACTTTGTATGTCACTGAGAACAGAGACATCTTATTTTCTAAATTGAGATCTGTCAAGGCAACTTCACAATCTCCTGGAGGACCTGCTATAAATGCAGCAGCGGTGGCAGGTGGCAGTGGCACGCAAGTGCCTAGACCACTCAACATAGAGATTGTTATGCACTATGAAGTTGTTCTCTAAAACAACACTTAATATTGTGCTGTGTGAGTTCACAGCTGTTGCAAGTGACAAAAAGGTAATTAGAAGCATTAGTAAGAGCACATAAAAGGGAACTTTTCTAGTTGAACCATTTCCCTAGGTTTTCAAGTCTATCCATTTCATTAAAAATTAGCTCACAAAATTAAATTTGAAAACTCATTAAATATGAGCATTAAGCCGAAACCGGTTTGGCTCAATGGATAGAATGTCGGCTTGGGGACTGAAAGGTCCCGGGTTTGATTCCGGTCAAGGGCATGTACCTTGGTTGCGGGCATATCCCTAGTAGGGGGTGTGCAAGAGGCAGCTGATCGATGACTCTCTTATCGATGTTTCTAACTATCTCTCTCCCTTCCTCTCTGTACAAAATCCATAAAATATATATTTTTTAAAAATGAGCATTAAGGTATAGCTTAGTGTGCTAGAGATGGCCTGAACTAATGGTTTACATAATAAACCATACTTTAGAATCTTAAGGCTCACACAGATAGCTCAGTGTTTCACTTCTTCTTGGCACTTACATTCATTTTGACATATTGCAGAACTTTTATTTTTAAGCCTCGTTTCTTAAAATAATTAAGATATTTGTCTTGTTAACTTAAAAAGTGCAAGTAGCATGTGAGCTTATGTGGCAATATGTATGTGAATGAGGAAGAAAGCAGGGAATGACGAGAAAAGAAAAAAATTGGAAGACACAAGGGAAGTGGCGCTCACTGGTAACAAAAGCCCCCAAACTCATTTTAAATATGCTTTAAATGGAGCAGACTGCAGCTTCTCATGCATAACATGAAGTGGCCAAGTCCCAAGCTCAAGACAAAACAGAACACTAAACCTGGACCAACTGCGGTCCCTACAGGCCACGTCTCATCTGAATACTCACGCATCTATAGTTGGTATTGCGTATTTCCCAGTGTTGGTTAGCATTGCCCCTTTCATGTTAGGATCTTTCACTTCCATCATGAAACTTCTGGGAATTCCAGTGCTCTTTTTAATCCTAGGACCAGATTCGAAGTTCTTATCCTTTTCAGAGACGAAAAGAGATGAGGAGGGAGAGAAATTTAACATTAGCTAACATGTAGTGTTTACTAACTACATATATTATTTACACATGATTTCACTTAATCTTCACAACAGCCATTCACAGGCAAAAAGTAATAGGCTTGGAAAAATTAAGTAACTTGCCCAGCCTCACTCTGCTGTTAAGTGGCAGAGCCAGTATTTGAAGCCTGGCAATTTGGCTCCAGAGGCTTTGGTCATTTGCCATTGTACTATAGAAGGCAGTGTTTACCAAGAAAAATAAAATGGCTAATAAATAACTGTAAGAAAAATAAGCTGTATCATGTTTTGTACTTTGGACTTACCCCATTTGTTGGGCAATTCTTAATATAATGGCCAGGTTTACCGCAGCGGAAACAGGTATAAGATGGAGGTGGTGGACCTAGGGGTTTCTTCATGTAACTGAAAGGGAGAAAAAAGTATATGTATACAAAATCGTAGAAAAAAAAATTAAAGAGCCTCTGATTGGGGGAGAAATCCACCCTGAAGTCCCTATTTGTGCAAAGTACTTATGAACTTACTTGATTGGGTCGTATTCATGGCCAGATTGTGACATCATTGCTTTAATTTTATCTTCTTCAGAAGCATTGGCTTCAGCCAGATTGGCAGTCTGTTTAACAGGTAATTATTTGACACACACATTAGAAACACATCTAAGACCACACAGCCAAAGACAACACCACTCATCCTGTAAAGAGCAGTATCTAACCTTGCATAAAAACAGCTTTTTACACATATAAGCCAGAGGCGGCACTGGGGTTCCTCAGGTGTTTGTCTGTGGGACTGGAGTCTCTCTGGGGGCACTCAGACCTTAGACCCTGTTTGTACCTTGTGTTAAGATTTGCACACTACTCCCCTTAAGAGTTAAAAACAGATTAAGTTTAGAAAGAAACACTTGATGTTTCCAACCTTAAAAATAATTCAAATGTCATAGCACTAAGACTATACTTTATACTTAAAACTGGGAGGTGGGATTGGGGGTAGAATAACTCAACACATTATGCAACTGATATTAAAAATCAGAAAGCTCTTTAGATAGTGCCAATTTAAAAAGTAAGTACAAAGCAAAGCACATGCAATGAGCATTCATAATTTTAAATCCAATGCTCCAAATTTTTATTGAACTTTATCTTTAAGGTATATACAAGTATAGATATAAGCAGGGTCTAAGGGAGTTGAGTCCTAAATAGCTTGAATCTTCAGGCATCTAGCACTCTTATCAGTCATTCATTGGGTTTTATCTTTACATTCATTCACAAAACAAGCAACCAGTTTTAACATTTTATTGTAATTTTATATACAAAGAATGCTTAACATTAACAGAGCTTAGAACAGCGACATTTACAGAAAACTTGATTACATGTTGAACTAATTTGTTTGAACCCAAACATTAATTTACAAATAGTTAAAAAAAATCCCCCAAACCTCCAAAACTGTTTCCCACAGAGAAACAATGGTAGGAATAGCCCAAATTCAAATATGCTTACAGTACATAGGAATTAAAACATTAACTTGTAAACTAATGATGTTAACTCTATGCTAAACTACTTTGTATTAGAAAATTAGGAGGACACTTTTAGCCCACTTTATATTCTAGAGTTATCAATTTTAATGTTTAGTTTTTGCAGAAAAGGAACTAGGACATTTTGGGGGGTACATTCTAAGGGAAAAAGACACAACCTATAACAAAACCAAGGAAAAGTAGGAGAGCACCAATGGAAAACCCATCAACTCATTAATCTTGGTTGCTAAATTTGGTTTTATATTTCTGATAGTAGGGGGGGGGGAAAGATTTTTGGAAAACTTCCCTTTTGGCCCTTAAAAATCTGCCTATTCTGTAATAATTGCCTTTTTAAAAAAAGGCATGATTTGCAAGATAATCTATTGTTTTTAAAAGTAGTCCATTATTAGTGCTTTCCCAAATAAAAAGTACACACTGTTAAGCAGAAAATGTAAGCAATCTTATAGCAAAGCATGGCATATACAATGATTTCAGGAGGTAACATTTTGTCCCTCTGCCAAACATACACATTGGTATATTATTCCTGCGAACAGCTTTATACATCACAATTCATGTAGTCTGTGTTCAAACAAATTAGGTTGTTTAAAACTTTTTCTAATGCAGACAGACTACAAGTCTAGAGTATAAAGAAGCAAATGTATCACATTTAATATATTGACCTTCATGGGTTCAATCCAAATTTTCAAGAAAGAACCATGCAATCGTCCATGTAAAGGAAAGTTTCTATTTGGCTGCTTAAATAAAGTCCACATAATTTACAGCCAAAACCAAGGAATTCCTCCAGAACTTTGTTAGTTTCCAATGTATAATTAAACAAAATATATGAGGGGGGAAAAGTATGAGTAGCTTCCTTGTGTTTCTTCTGTCTTGAAGATGAAAATACTCCAAACATTGTGCTGAGGCTGACAAAATACTCCCCTATCTTCTCAAAACCACAACTACTCTTTACAGGATAGTAATAATACAACAATGTTTTTACAAGACATCTCCACCCCCAACCCCTCCAAAACAATTGTTGCACATAAAAATACGATGTTAGAAAAAGATTATTTTCAAGAATATATGTATATATATATATACCTTTGTAAGCTGGGCCAGAGAAATAGACGCAGAAGAGTCATCAATCTGTTCACAAAAAATTAAACACACATTCAAGTTCCACACTGAAAACATCTAAAAGTGATCATTTAGTTCCCACTGCCACTTAATGTTTAAATATTGGCCATTTTCTTAGAAGTATTTTCAAGAATGTTATTTTCTAAAAAGTGTTTTAAAGCTGAAAGTGTAGCTTACTCCTCCTTTCCCTATGTATTTCACACAGTTCTAAAGGCTAACAGTTGGGGGGGACTGAAGCACAATGGGAAAATGGGGTAAGGAAAAGTTTATCACACAGGCATTCAGTTCAGGCAGGTGACTAAATGCTAAGTAAGAGTTCCGTGTCTGTCAATGGTCTCTAAATTTGATGATGCTCAAGACAATGGACACTAGGAGAGCAAGAAATCTAACTTTCCTAGAATGTCGTTATGTAAATTGTAAAACAAGAAGTTCTTTAAAGGCTCAGGTAATCTTGAATAAAACACCTCCCACATAATTATGACTTCTGATCTTTTTTTAAGCATATACTGCTCAATCTAAATAAGTTTAGTCTCCCATACAGAGAGAAACAAATAGCTTCTTGATGAAGAAAACACAACTTTTTATCAGAGATGTTAAGCTAAACAAAAGGGGGAAACAAAAGGGCCCTGAGAACAGGGCAAAAAGTGCTGATTCATTTGGGGATGATTTTAATATGTGAAGACAAGAGAATCAATCAAAGGGAGCAAGTATTAGAAATGACAGATAAAAGGGGGCTTTAATAAATGTGTTTTCAAATGTGACATTCTTAAATTTTTAATTATTTGGTTCCCTGATATGATTTTAATATCAGTTTCTAAAAAGTATGTATGTGCATATGTGTACACGCACACACACATATCTTTAGCACATAATTGTGAAGATATAATTTCCTTACAGGTGTACCCAAATGAAAGCATTATCTTTTTATCTTTCTATGTTATAATTCTCTCATGCATTATTGGTTATAATTCTAGTTTAAAATGGAAAGAATGTAACAAGATGTCTGAATCAAAAAAGAAAACAAAAAACAAAAAAAGCAAGTCTTCATCAGGTATTTTTCAAGTATTCCAGAGAACTCCAGAGTATTAAAAACAGTATGATTTTTTAAGCGTCTCCAACAGAAATGTAACAAGTTTCAATATGAAGTTCTTAGCACAATGCCCACCACAGTAGGAATTCAATAAATGCAAATAAAAATGCTGGTTAAATTTAAAATACATCTTAAAAATACTTTAGGATTTTAAGTTAGTTTGATGGATGTTATTACTGAGATGCTTAAGTAAAGGTTCTTTGCTCTATCCTGAGCGACTCTAAAGAGTTCGTAATGCAGGAATCCCACATTCCTAATACTCAACCGTATAATCCACCATTGGGTCCTCACCATTGTCCAGCTCTTAAACTTACTTTCCTAATATAACTAATCTCAAGGAGCAAGCTAAAAAAATTTTTTGAAGGAATTTATAATATCGTATTTTTAGCCAGAATAAATTAACCCAGTCAATCTGTTTTAAAGAGGGTTACATTTTACATCAACTAGGAATTGTTTGAACTTAAATAACAAACGAATAAACTGTCACCCAACATCTATATACTATACTGTGCTTCTAACCAATGAAACAAATAACTTTTAAAACAGTCCTTGATCATTTCCTTAGAAAGTAAATCAGTTACATTAACTTTCTTATTGCTGGAACTGAAAAACTAACATTTTTGTTCATCTCACTCTAACACTTAAAATATAATGTCTTTTTGTCCTTATTCCAGGCTTTCTTGTCCTTTCTTTTTAGCTTTCTGCCAACCTGTTATTAGTATTGGATATTTATTGGGTTGAAAGTGGTTTCAAATATTCATTGACATATAAATAACTTTTTTCCACCAAATAATCACCATAGCATCTAAATATTTTATAATTCACAAGGAGGTCAAATGTACCACAAATTTAGAAGGGTATCTAATTGTTTTCTGCATATAGCAAGGTACGAAAAACTGAGAATTACTGACAAGGAATGGCTTAAAAATGACTAGAAATTTACGTGTTCTAAACATCAGTAAATACAGTAACTCTCAGATACTATTAATAAAAACAAATTCTGCCACATTAAAAGTCTTCAAAACAGCTGCTTGATGCATAACTGTGGACATCATTAAGACACCTCCCCACATCTAATTTGCGGTCTTGCTTCTGGGAGCAAGATCTAAAATCTTCAATGCCAAATACACTTGCTTGAAATTAAAGGACCCTAACACAATGTAATTCTGATGTTCAGTTAGTAGGAAGAGCACCCAGTTTTGGAGTCTCAACAGGGAAGGACAACTAAGTAAACAAAGCTGAAGAGTACAGACAGAAATAGCCAGTCATCTTTGATTAGAGATGGCTAAGTTACCAAAATGTACATACATTCACTTCTACTAATCAGAATGTAAAAACCTGGTTGAGTGATTTTTATCTTACTTGGTTTTTGGAACAATACATGTGATTCTTAAGTCTCCTAAGATGGGAACAAATTAACTTGTTGAGGCTCTTCTCTCACCCTAAATGTCAGCAAATGTACCCCAAGCTAAATGCTAAGTAAGAGTTCGGTGTCTGGGGATATTGTTATCTAATGTCTCCATTTCAGATAATCCTACCTAAAAAATTAAAACCACTTTTAAAGTACTAAAAAAACAAAGAAAGAGAAACCTAAATAAGCATAAAATAAGCTGCTTCTTTTAAATGTAATACAGACATGCCAGGGAACACACAAGGCTAAAAGAATGTTAACTTTATTTATGAACATGTGATTTGTGTTTATACACATGCTAATAAACAAAAAGGAAATAACTGTTTTCAAGAAATAAAACTTCATCTGAATTAGTTTAAATACTATATAAAATGTACTTTATACAAAATGTGTTACATTAACTACTACAGTCACCAGGATAGTCATCTATTTTGTGCTAGCATTTGGATACATTTTTAAAAAATCAGTTTTAAACCAATCACCAGCAAAACAGAAACGTGGACAGTTTTTACAGCTTAAAAAAAACAACCCATATACCCCCAAAGAGGGGGGGCACCCCAAACACTATGAGTTTGGAATCACTGTATTTAATTCCATGGGAACTAAAGGCCAAAGTTCAGATTTGCTATGTTATGTTTAAGATCCAATGATCCAAGGTTAGTGAAATGCCTAATACACAATTCAAGATCAGTATTTAAAAAGGATAAAGTGAATCAGCAAGCAGTACCCTTGAATTCTAAATGAAGATTTCAGACATCTTGTGTATAAATCAGCCTGAGCAGTCAAATGTTTAGAGAACCATCCAGTTTACAGAACCAATTACTGCAGACCTGTGTTTGGAAACAGATGCTTCACCCCACAACTGAGGACTACTACTAATTATTAGCTCAAAGTCAAGTTAATCTGTGATATAATTAAGACGTTACCCTGGTTGAGGGTAGTTACCTTTGATAAGGTACAGTTCTCAATTAGCTTATTATTTTATGAGAAAAAGGGAAATATTTTAATTTGGACAACTGAGCAAACTGGAACTGAAAGATCTTATATTAAAATTTGAAAATTTTCATTGTACTCAATTGTGTAAAATCATCAAAATCATTAGGAGACATTGATATCCTGGTGGAGGGCCCAATTTCAGGTTTCACTTTAAATTAAGGACAGAAACAATGAATAGGAGCTCAAAATTGCCAAATAAAGCAAAATTAAATAATAAAGTTGCATCAATGGTCTCTGGAAAGCTTTCTTCTCTGATGTATCTGAACTTGGAGAAAGCATCAAACTTTAATATGGAGCTTTGCATGTTGCTAACCCCCTTTTAAAAGCCATCGATGAGGCAGAAAAAAAATAACCTAACAAAAACTAAGTGATACAATGTGAAAATGGCAAAATATACACTCCAAACATTTTTTTATTGCAAGAAACAAAAAGCACACAACAGCCTGTACATACATACAAAATACTAACTATAGACAGACAGATGCAGAACATGTTATCATGTTCAGTAATGTAAAACCTACATGATCTAAAAAGGATCATACATTAACTGTACAACACAGTGTCATACAGGGTTGCTATCATTTAATACGAAACAGTGTTTTGGGGCACAAATTACCCATTTCTACAAAGTAAGTGTGCAAATTATGCCACATATATCCAAATTCAACTGAGCTGTCATCAAAATACATTTTATTTACAATATGTGCTATGATCAGTTGGATATTAAGGTCTAATATGATTTAGTTCACTACAACATTATAAAGGTAAAAGCAATGTGTAGAAAAAGTGTGATTGTGTTTTTACATACTGCTTTTGAAGTTCCCATCACTGGTTCAGTTCGACTTCTAAAAAACAAAAACAAAAATAACATTAGCTCTATGAGCAGCTATTTAGGATTTTATCTCTATCACACTTTTGCAGGACAATTTTCCTTTGGGACAAAGATTTACAAACAGCCAATTTCAAAAAAATACACTATTTTAATCAATCTTTACCACCTTTGAACACTATCAGTTTAAGATGCATTTGTGATTTAAAAAAAAAAAAGTCTACTCTGGAGGCCTGCCAGGAAAGATGGATGGCATTTGAATGAAAATATGTTCATTAGAATAATGGTCTGAGAAATGTTAAGTATGAGACAGTTACTAAGAAAATGTCCCATATGATTCCCACACTTGACAATCAACCTCTGTAAACTTACATGCCTTTTGACTTATTGCCACTTACAATAGTTTGGTATATTAAGAATTATTCCTATTATTAAACCTTTCCTCAGTTCTTAATATTATAGATACAGATGTAAATTTTCACACATCAGATTTTCTTAAAGAAAGACCATCATTAATATTTGTAATTTGGATCCCTGAGAAATTGTTGTGCTCCAAAAACTGGATTTCAAATCCTAGAGGTTGATAGTAAAACAAAAATTATAAATTCCAGAAAAATACAATGTAGTTTGACAGAGTATTTTAGTCAAAAAAATTAAATGGTTATGGATAATTAGATAAGTTCCTTTTTAAAGAGCACACAAACCCCAAAAGAAAATTTTTTTCTAGGTCTCACAGGAAACAGACCAGAGGTTGAAATGCTAAATATATAGTCTTTATATGCTTAGTTTTAATTTCAGTTTTTGTTCATGCTGTAGGGAATATTCAGAGATGTGTAGAACCAAATCATTTGTACATGATTGGAAGTCCTGAGGTAAAAATAAAATTTTCTTTTTCTAATATTTGTTCAACAAACTCAAGAGGCATTTTATGAAGGAAATCATATCCATAGTGAATTAACATGCAATTCTCTAACAGCCAACTTATTTTTTAATGTACTTCAAATAATTCCCCAAAAGTTTTTGAATATATAAAAAAGTAAATCTAAAACTCAATGTTTTTATAAGGTTTACACTAGAGTCTAGGAATTAATTTTTTTCCTTATTTCTTAAGATTACACACACAAAAAAACCCCCACACATAGTTCACCTGGTATTTACAGCAAAAAAAAAAAAAAAAAAAAAAAAAAAAAAAATCAGTCTTTTAAGTTGTTAATATACAGAAAATATTATACAAAAGGACTTCCAAATGGAATGGAACTTTACAGTAAACAATCAGAATAATCTGTAAGAATGAATACTTGCCCACACAAAGTGAAGCTCTAAGAAATGATTGTACCTCAATTCTAAGGAAACATTCCATTTCCTAGGAATGATAAATTAGCAAATTCAAGAATTTTTTCATTAACCAAAAGCAGAATTTGCCATAATTATAAATAAGGCTACCTAACTCCTAAGGGGAAATCACTACCCTTTAAATAGCCCATGATGCCCCTTGTCCTGTTTGGTCAGTTGGCTAGGTCCTTGGTGGGCAAACTGCAGCTCGCAAGCCACATGTGGCTCTTTTGCCCCTTGAGTGTCTCTTCCACAAAATACCACGGCCTGGGCAAGTCTGTTTTAAAGAAGAGGCATTAGAAATTTAAAAAATTTGGCTCTCAAAAGAAATTTCAATCGTTGTACTGTTGATATTTGGCTCTGTGGACTAATGAGTTTGCCCACCACGGGCTAGGTGTTACCCGGTGCACCAAAAGGTTGCAAGCTCAACCTCTGGTAGTTAGCATGCAGGAGGCAGCAGACAGATGTCTCTCTCCTCCTCCCCCTAAAATCAATTTTAAAAATATTTAAATAAAATAAACAAATGGCCTAAGTAGCTGTCCTTTTCATATATTATGATTTTACTATCACCATTAAAATAGCAAGAAATCCCTAGCTCTAGCTCTGGCTCAGCGGATAGGGCGTTGGCCTGTGGACTGAAGGGTCCCAGGTTTGATTCCAGCCAAGGGCAAGTAAGGGCCTGGATTGCGGGCTCAATCCCCAGTAGGGGACATGCTGCTGGAAGCAGCCAGGTCAATGGTTCTCATCATTGATGTTGCGCGCTCTCTCTCTCTTTTCCCCCTTCCTCTCTGAAATCAATAAAGAAATATATTTTAAAAATAAAAGTAAAGTAGCAGGTATAGAAACTTACAAGATATAAAATGTTAACCCTGCCTCCTTGTTAAGCTCCAGACTAGTCCTAAAGTATTGCTGTTTTGGTCATTACCAATAATGGTCATTTACCATGTACCAGTCACTGTTTATTCATATCCTCATTTCATTTTGAGAATTCTAAGGTACAGACTTTAACTTACCCAAAATCAAAAATTAGTGAGAAGCAGTGAGTATAGTCAAACTTAAGTTTGATTCCAGTACCTGCTCAAAAATCCTATAAACTCTCTACGCTCCTGACAAAACCCCTTTCTGATGAGGAGCAAATGTTAGCATTTAATACTCTTGATGTTGACAAAATATTTAGCACAGATTTCTAAGGAAACTCATATATATGGAAAAGATAAAGTGTAGAGGCAAAGAAGGTACAGAAATACTGTTCACTGTTTGAACATCATTTTGTCTTTCTAAAGAGTACCTATACAGAGCAAAAATCTTCCTAATGGTGCCTATTCCTAACTACAGGTTAAGTTAATCTACCTGGGGGAAGAAATCAGGAAAAACAAACCAATCATCAGTTTTAATGATTGAGGAGATATCAGAGGTTAGGTTCTAAAACATCCGTTTCTTTCTCATACCAAAAGTCTATTATTTTGAGAACTTAAATACATGAAATTGATACTTACATAACGTATGTCTTGCTTGTAGATTTAACACCGCCAATAGGAATTCTTCTAACAATTACAGATGAATTCTTAGGAATCAGGGCATTATCATCAGTATATTCTGTAAATAAAATGATAGAAATGAATTTCTATTTGGGATTTGGGTAAAGTCACAGTCCTCAAGAATTAGAGGACTTCAAATTTGAACTTTATGGGAAATAAATTTAAATATAAAAGAGCATTAATACTATATTCCTTGCATCTGGATTACTGATATTGTCAGAAAAAATATCCAAAGCCGTAAGGGACTCCTCTTCAAAGGACACAAATTGTCAATTGGTTCTTGGCCCGGGAAAGTCCACTTTTGTGGACCCCCAAATTTTAGTTAATTTAGCCACTAATGCTGAACATCTGAGCTATGAAAAAAGCTGTTGTTTATAACAAAGAAATTCTGTCTCTCCTAGCCCTTAAAGGTAAGTATTACTGGAGGAGATTAGAAATTTAACTTGCCGTGTTTAAATACAGAAAAAAAGGTTTTGTAATAAAGAATTAAGTGGAATGCAACTTAGAATAGAATGTTGGTTCAAGGAAATAACTGACATTTGAGACTTAAAAGACTGAGAGGCCATCCAGATGTGCAAAAGGCTGTTTCAGATAGAAAGGAAAGCACTTGGAAAAATCAGAAAGGCCGAACAGCTGAAGAAAATGAAAGAAAATAATGTGAAATACAGGCAGAAAAGTACTTATCATACATTGATTTGTATTTTGTTTCTAAATACAAAAGAAAGTTATTGAAGGTTGAAAATTTTGTTAAAAACAAAACAAAACGATAACTGTTATCTAAGCGGAGCATGAATCCATAGAGAAATAAAAGTAGAAACAGACTAATAGGGCCACTGCTGTGCAGTCCAGGTAAGAGATAAAGATGGCCTGGGCTGGGATATGAGAGAGAAATGGAGAGTCAGAATGTTTGAGGCAGAACTGCTAAGGGTTGTGGATGAATTGAATTGGGATAAGAGGCGTGTGTGTGTGTTGTGTGTGTGTGTGTGTGTGTGTGTGTGTATGTGTAGAAGAAACAAGAATTGGGCATGAATTTGAGTTCCTGGTTTAAACAACTGGATGAACAGTGATATCAATTCCTAATAAGACAAATGGGAACATTAGTGAATCCTATTTTTCTACTCTTTGAAGTATTTTGCAGTTATTTCTCTAAGAATAAAATTTAAAGAGTAAATGGACCAATGAATTTAACTATGGTAAAAAGAGTTGCTAAGGAAGGAACTAGTAAAATTACCAAAAAGAAAAATAATCCAATACAGGGAGAAGGATGAGAAAATGTACCCAATTTCCTTAATCACACAGACAGACATTAGGGTTTACTCTGCTAAGGTTGTGAGTTTACTTGTTTCACATAAGTTACCACCAAGTGACTGACTTCCAATTATTTCAAGTTTGTCACATATCTAAGCATTTTCCAATATATATATATATATATATATATATATATATATATATATATATATATAAAATCAATTCTATTCTTTTAAATCATAGTACTATTGGTATTTCCTATTATGAACTAAGTTGTTCAAGAAAGGTTTTTTTTTAGTATATTTCAAGCAGTAGGTTGTATCTCACAGGTATTCAGTTAGAATGATGCAATTTCCTAGATCCAGGAATACCAATATAAGCCTATCATCTTGCAGTTTATGACAGTTCCAGATTCTAAGCAGGCTAAGAAATACTGGGAACAGAGATGGAGAATCTTTAAAAAGCCAATTCTAGAATCAAAACTTGGTGTCAAACACCTACAGTTTCTGAATGTATAACTCTCAAAAGTGTTCAATGGGGAAAAAATAGAAAATGTGTTCACAGCTTTCTAGGACAATTAACAAACTGCTGTGCCAAACTAAGTTAGGTGCCCTAACACCAGTCACTGTAACTGACCTTTTAATTTTTATGTACCCGAATTACATCAATGATTTTCTATCCTTTAGTAGCCTGTTAACTTCAAAAGACTCTCTCTATACACCAGGATAATTTTTAATCCAAAAACATACACATCATGGATGGAATGAAAAACAAGAGCATTTGAGAAATGAAGGAAAATGTATAATGACTATTTTAAAAATAATTCACCCTCAGCTTCCAAATCTTTTGTAGTTAAGTTCAAATGAAGGTTTTTGTTTTTTTTTTTTTTTGTGTGTGTGTGTGTGTGTGTGCGCAGAAACATAGGTAAATAGGTTACATAGTTAAATTATATAGGAAAAGCATACAATCTCCTGTTATGAAGCTATAAGCACTTATTGTGTACTCTTTAATTCACTGGATGGTGCTAAAACTAAGGGGGACTCTTACTCAGCTGTCTCGTGACACTGGATACTATTTCCAATAAAACTCATTAAGTGACTGTCCTCTGTACTACAGTATTTCTCCCCTAATGTAAGGATGCAAAGAATGCAGACTTCCTCCCTAGGAGCTCCTTCTCTTAACCAATCTAGTACCAAAGCTCTCTCTAATAATGACAGTTCACACAAATACGTAAAATAAACATGCTGTTGGGCCAAGAAAGCATTCCTTTTTCTTTCAGCGTTTATCAAAATAAAGTACCACATAATTTCCTGGCTTAGAAAAAAAAAAAAATATATCACTAAAGTCTTAAATTTTGAACAAGAATTCCATCGCTTTACTCCATCAAATTCACTCCAGTCTAACAAAGTTGTGTTCAATTATTAGGTGGAAAAGATGGACAAAGTCTAGCCCCAAAGAATTAAATTGTGTAATATTGCAATAAAATATGAAGCTTGCATAGTATCTAATGATTAAAACTGACTTAATATTCTTTAATTCCATTTGTATTGTCTTTCATTCATAAGTACCATTCCCCTATCAAGATGGCCTGAAATTCTTATAAAGTCACTTGTTCTGTAAAGTATAATATGTAAGGAATGTTTTTGGTGGCCTTAAAGAAAAAGTAATTCCCTTAAAGTATTTTCTTGAATATATTTTTTTAAATCTTTGTGAGTTTTTTTAGTTTATTTTTTATTGTTTGAAGTGTTACAAATAGTAGTACATATGCCTCCTTTTTGCCCTCCTTGATCCATCCCCAGCCTCTTAAATCTTTTTAAAAGCTGTTTTTCAAACCTTCGTGACCACCAGTTTTTCCTCTCCTAAGTATAGAGATGCTACACATAATTACAATTACCATGGCTTCGCGTGAAGTGTCCCTTAAGTATGAAACTATTTTTAAAGGTGGGGAAACAGCTTATTCTTTCACACATTATCACGTGAATAAATAAAATCCTTTTTTAATGAATATTTTTGAGTCATGATTGCCAGTAGTGCTGTTCCTTAACACAATAATACAATCATTCTTAATATCGGATGTAAATGAAAAACAGCTCTTTACCATGACAAGATATTCTATCTACCAAACAACAGGCTAGAAGTGGGGGACTCCCCCCTCCCAATTGCAATGAAAAGAGCCCTTGTTACCATAAACCAAATTTAGCAATCAAGAAAAACCCTAATCTAATTAGAACTTCGCTCAATTTCTTCTGATGCCATCCATAAAACTCAGATGACTGACCATCTGAAAACTACAGATCAGCATTACAATACTGAGAAAAAGAAACCAAGTCAAGTTCAGAGTCAGAACGTGAAAGGGTCATTTATCACATTTTCAGTATTTACTGTTAAACTCTCATTATAAAAAAAAATGCATATAAAGTAAGAGTACATCACATGTACTCATATGACAACAGCCTATTGTTTTTCAGTATTCTAATATCAACATCACAGTCTAACAATCATTTTTTAAAAGTCTTTTTTAGATCTAGTAAAAATGAACAAAGAGCACAGCCACTTAATTAGCGTATTACTAATTCTGAAATTTGCACTCAAGACTAAAGCAATTTAATCCAGTTGAAGACTGGCTGGATTACATCCCCCAAAATGTTCAAGTGAGGCTCTCTTCTCTACAATAAAGACAATTCCAAAGTCAAACTAGACAGACAGGAGAAGGAAGAAAAGTAAAAAATGTGCCCCCAACAGTTGTTAGGTTATAAAGTTAGAGAACTAACAGTGAGTGGGGCAGCTCCCAAAGAACCCCTAATCCTCTCCCACCCAAGCCTTTTCCAAACATCGGAGGGGATTAGGCTGCCCGTATGCACAGAGCAAGCACAGCGGCTCAACCCCGAGCCCGGGCTGTCCCGCCAGCCTCCGAAAGCCCCGCCAGAGCCATGATGGCGGTTAGTCTTCGGCTGGGAACCTCCCCACCGGCCGTCTCCGCCGTCTCCGCGTCCATGTGCTCTTACCTTCCTTGGTCTGCGCGTTGGTGATCTGCAGGTCGCAGTCCGCAGCTTTCAGCTTCTCTCTCCCCATAATCTGCTTCTTTAGGTCGCAGAGAGAGATGTGGAGCCCATCAAAGGTGACCGTGTCATAGTTGAGTTTGGAAGAGAATTTATAATGCACACAGGACATGGTGCCTAAGTTCGGCGAGGAGACGTGGACACGCTCAATATACGTATATTTATAAACTTTAAGAGCAGAATATGTACATACACAAAACACAAGACACCCAAGACCTAAGGCCTCGGATTAAACACCCCCTCCCACACAGGGGCGTGAGAACCGCAATCCGGACCCGACCTCGGAATCCCTTCATGTGCAGGAGGGCGGACGAGGGCGGGAGGGCCAGGGGCTCCGCCAACGGGCACCGCGTCACCCGGCCGGGTCCCCCTCGCTCATGCTAGGGGCCGGCAGACGGAGCAGTCAGTCGCGGTCAGTCCACACGTTACAAGTCCGAGCGACCCGGCGGGGTCAGGGGTCCATAGTGCAGCCGCACCTCCCGGTGGCTCTCTCCGTGGTCTGGGTGACCCGGGCCCCGCGAGAAGGCCGCGGGGAGAGGGCCTAGGCCCGCAGTCCACCAGCGGCCTCTCGCCTCCTCCTGGCTTGCGGACGACCGGCGTGGCTCCCAGGCCCAGGCCCGCCCCCCCCCTCGCCCCGACTCCGGCTCCCCGAAGGCCTCGGCGCCGCGGCCTAGGCCCAAACGCGCGGTCGGCGGCGAACAGGCCTTCCTTCGCAGGCCGCCGTCACCCCCCGCCGCAGCCGCCAAGCCGGCAGCGGGCCTCCACCCGGCTCCGGGCACGGCCTCACCAGCTGGGCCCCGCCGGCGGCCGGGGGGCTTCGGTGACCTGGCGCCGCCGCCGCCGAGGCTCCGGGACGCTTCCTCACGACGAGTGCTCCGCGCTTCTCTTGCCTTCCGCTCCCGTCGCTTCTAGGCCCAGAATGACGAGCGGGCGACGACGAGGGCTTCCTTTATGTCCCGCCCCGCGCCGCTCCCAGGCCCTCACTCGGAGGCGGCGACACATCCACACCAGTCAGTATGGCGGACGCGGCCTGACTCCAGCGAGCGCCCACTCCGGGGTCTCTTAAGCAGGAACTGCACGGGCGGCGCCTGCGGGCGGGGCCGGCGCGCGCGCGTCGGCGGCAGGGGGCGGGGCCCGCGGCGTCACAAAGCGCACTCTTCGCACGTGACCCCGCGCTTTGTGACGCGAAGCGCGGAACCGGAACCAGCCGAGAGAGCGGAAGAAACCATCGGCCTCAAAAAGGGGGGGGGGACTGGAAAGAGAACCGACTCAATAGGGCGGTTCTGGGAGGGGAGCTCAGATTTCAGCAGCTATTACCAGACTAGTTTGTGCCACAAAGGGGGTTCCGAGGGATGCCCGCCTAACTCCCCTTGCCTACAATCCCCTACTCTTCCGAGCCTCCCAATGTAAGTAAACATCCTGGTTGCTATGCACCCCCCTAACTTAGCCTTTCAACAAACTCGGTACCCTAAGATAGTCCAATTATGAAGCAGCCCCAGGGTAGAATTTATAACCACTACCATAAATTTTTGTGGGACACCTTGTATTTTGGGAGGTGAGCACACAATGCAAGATTACAGATGTGTTATAGATCTGTAATCTTGAAACTGATATCATTAACCACTGTCACCCCAATAAATTTAATTTCTAAAAATTTCCATTAAAAAAAATGTTACTTGACTGGTGGCTCAATTGGTTGGAGTGTCATCCCATACACGAAAAGGTTGTGGGTTTGATTCCTGGTCAGTGAACATACCTACATTTTGGGTTTTATTCACTGTCAGGACAAGTATGGTAGGCAGCCAATGCTCTGTCTCCGTCTCTCTCCCTTCCTCTCTCTAAAAAAATAACAAAAACATCTCTTCTGGTGAGAATTAAAAAAAAAAAATGGTACTTGGTTTACTGGGTTGCTATGAATTCCATTATTTAGGACCATCAGGTACACGGTTCAGTGTGTCAATAAATGTGATTCAATCAATGTCAGTTTAACACCAACAATAAACCCGAAGTGGTCAGCACTACCATTATCTCCAATTTATAAATGAGGGAACAAAAATTAGCAATCATGAACTTTCTGAATTCCCACAATCAGGGCAATGCCTGTTCAGTGCCAGATCCGAAATCTCATTTCTAATTATAAAAGCTGGGAACTGTGCCAATAATCCCCTCAGTGGATGAAATATTTTCCCTTGGAGCATGGGGGTGTTATTATTATATCTATAAAACTTATAATATAATAAACTGTAACACTGTCACTTACGATGCGTGTCCCCCAGTCATTGAGAACAAGGTCAAACGGCCCAGAGGTGGCCAGGTTTGCTATGGGCTTCCGAATCCCCACTCCAAAGCCCTCAGTGACTGTTCTCCGTGACTGAACTTGGTTTAAATTCATCAGCATCTTGTCAGAAAAGTCTTCCTAGGGCAACCTGATCTGCAATCGTAGAGACAGCCTTGAAGATAGAGCAGACAGCAGGCATCTACTCTGAGAGGCTCCAACATTTGCCGTTTGACCTTCGAAAAGTAACGTGGCTTCTGTGGCCTTGGTTCCGACAAGGCCTGTCTCCTGGGCCCGGTGTGGCTGCGTGCAGAGCGCCCAGTGCCTGGTTTCGTCCCCTGCTGCTGCTGTCTTGGCATTCCTCATCATTTTCATTTCCATTTTGCTCTGAGCCTCACAAGTTATGTGGCGAGTCTCAGACAAATAGTGCCTTCCTCGAAACAGCAGCGGGCTTGGGGGCGGGGCATGGGAGATGACACTCAGTGGGCGCAGTTTCAGCTTTGCCAGATGAGAAAGTTAGACATTTGTGTACCAAAAGGTGATTACATTTAACACTACTGAGCTGCACATGTGAAAGGTTGAGATGGTCAGTTTTACATATGTGTTTTTTAATAAAAGGACAATAAACACTCCCCAATGCTTTCCGATGGGGTTATAAAGACAGTTCCTGGCAGTGCCTGGCGCAGAGGCACCAATGGAGTGCTGTTGGGAAGTAAATCCAGAGGCCGGTGCTGGAGGTGCCTCTTTGAGGTGCTTTCCACATGCATAAACGTAACACCACAGCCATGGCTGGCATCCGCCACGGCTTCCTTTCACCACGCCCTGTGCCACGCAGTCTTCCGATCCTCCCGAGAACCCAGTGGGTAGCTCTGCTCCATCACCATTTTATAAGTTTGGCAACAAGGTTCAGAGAGGCGAGGTCACGTGCCTGAGGTCACGCAGGAGCCCGCGTGTGACACGGGCTGCCGGCTGGGAAGGGCATTCCCCGCGCACTGACTATGTCACGGCCACCCACGGAGGAAGCTCCCTCTCTGGGTGCCAGGAGCAAGCTGGCCCACTGCCCGTTCGCCTCCCCGTCCCTGCTTACCCCCGGTTATCTCTGATCTCTGTCTGTCCCCATTTCTAGATTAAGTTCCGGGCGGGCGGGCACCTGGCAGGAGCCGGGGCGCATGTGGGGAGCCCCGAGGACGCTTGCTCGGTGGCCGTCTGGCTCCTCCAGTGGCGACAGGCCTGGGAGATGGAAGCAGGCAGAGGCCCTCAATCTCCCTCGCACTCTGGAAGGTCCCTGGAGGAAGTGCCAATGGGGCGCCCTTGCTTACATAGGCCTCTGCTCGGGCTTGCGCACCCCCTCACCTACTCTGTGCCCCTAAGACCTGGCCCTGGCTCTGTGCTGCCTCCTGTGTCAGGCACTCTCTCCTTCACCCTGACCTGTGAACCAGGAGCCCTTCTCCGTGGGGCACAGGGCGCCCAAGGTCGCAGCTGGTAGTGATGGAGCCAGGCTTCACCCCAGGGGCTTCCCTTCCCTGCCAGGACCCCCGTGGTGTTGGTCCCACCTGTGCCTGTCTCGGCTATACCTGGCCTTGGGTCTGCTCTTGGAGAACACTGGATGGTGGTGGTGGTGGTGGGGGGGTATGAGAAAAGCATTCATTCATTCACTCATTGAGTGACAGCGTGTCCCTGGCATGATCCGGGCTCTCAGTGCCGCAGCGCACACGATGGCCCAGGCTTCTGCCAGCCTGGAGCTTCCTTCTGTGGAGGAACACGCGGGAAGCAGCTAGACCAGCAGGCGAGGACATGGCCGCAGCATGCGCTAGTGTATGAGGAAAATGAAGCAAGTTAGCGACATGGGGCCTGGAGGGCGGGGGTGGGGAAAAGCTGACCCTCAGGAAGGGCCTCTGGAGGGGGTGACGTTGGAGCTGGCGCTTGAATGACAGGTGAGGTGAGGTAATGGGAAGGAGGTTTCTGGGTGGAGAGAATGACAAGTGCAGGCGCCCCGAGGTGTGATGCAGGGACAGTCAGGTGTGGCTGAGTGCGGGTAAGGCGGGCGACAGGGCTTGCGCCAGAGGAAAGGCAGGGGCCACATCCTGTAGGATTAGCGAAGCCAATGGAACAACTTTTGCCTTGAGAGAGCAATATTCTAGGAAGGCGTTACCCTTCGGGACCACCCTCTGCTAATGTTCTGGGCCAGTGGTCGGCAAACTCATTAGTCAGCAGAGCCAAATACCAACAGTACAGTGACTGAAATTTCTTTTGAGAGTCAAATCTTTTAAACTTAAACTTCTACTAACGCCACTTCTTCAAAATAGGCTCGCCCAGCCCGTGGTATTTTGTGGAAGAGCCACACTCAAGGGGCCAAAGAGCCGCATGTGGCTCGCGAGCCGCCGTTTGCCGACCACGGTTCTCGGCAGTTTGAGAATGGGGTGGGTACCATGGCTTCTTAAGATCCAAGTGACTGCTGGGCCATAATACCCTTCAGCACATCCTGGATTTTGAAGAGGCGGGGAGAGTGGGGGATGCCGGGTGCGGTCTGTTTAAAAGGCAGAGGTGGGGTGACACATACCACGTGTGGCTCATAGTCTTCCCCAGGGTCATGTGACCAGGACTGTGGTTTCAGACAGGCGGGGAGGATGGGCCCCAGGCAGACCCTGCAGCTCTGGCAGCCTTCTCTCCCTGCCACGCAGGCTGGGGACAGGTCTGTCAAAAACGGGTCGGGGGTGACCTTGACAACCTCGGCCTGCGACTTGGCAGCGGGCCCACAGGGTCCGGGAGGAGAAGCCCTCCTCTGGGAGGCAGGAAAAGGGAGACTGGGCCAGGCCGGGCTGTCCCAGACGCAGAGGCCAGAGGGTCTGCCTCCCACGGCTGAGTGGGGCGGCTCCAGGCACAGTCAGGTTCGGAGCCACCGCCTTCTCGGTGGCGTGCGGCTGAGAGCACAGGTGCAGGCCGCAGAGCAGCCTTGGCTCACATCCCAGCTCTGCCTCGCACGACACGGGTGGGGGCACCTCCATCACCGGCTGTTCCAGGCAGCGGGACCCCGGGAGCAGCGCCCAAGTGCGGCATGGGCAGTCCTTGTGCTGTTCCACGGACCTCAGGCCCCCGGGAGGGCGTCGTCAGGATCAGATTTACCACCTGAGCTGAGCTTTAGTGACCTTTCCGAGGGCTTACTGAAAGTGCTTCATTTGGAAACAAAAAGACAAAGCCACGCCTACTCCCAAAGCCCCTGAACTGGGAGGCGGGAGGCAGGAACAGTGCCCTACAGGCTGTCCTGAAGGTGCAACCTGGCAGGGAGAGGCGGAGGCAAAATTCCGGGCACAGCCACCCGTCGGCCGGGCACAGCCACCCGTCGGCCGGGCACAGCCACCCTCGCCGGGCACAGCCACAGTCTGACCTCTGGGGAAAATGAGCGCCTGCAGCGGCGGGCGCAGTGACGCTGGGCAGGTGCGAGCGGGCCGGCTTCACCTGGGAGGGAGGGGCTGCCTGGGTGAGTGTCCTGTTTCCAAAGGCGGGACCATCCGGCCTGGGGGCGGGGGCGGGGGCGGGGTGGGCGGAGCTAGAACTCCGCTAGAATACTGCCGGGGCTTACCGGCCCGAGAACCCGCCGACTGGGCTGCACACACACAGCCCCTGGAAACTGAGGGGCGGAGGGATCCTGGAAAGCAAGGTCCAGGGAAGGGAGCCCCAGACCTCGGGTCGCTCTGCAGAGGAGCTGGCTTCCAGCGTCCGCACGCGGGAGGCGCGGAGGGGAGGATGGGGGCGGCCCTGCAGCAGCTCAGCCTCAGCCCAGGCAGCTGCCCGCTTAGAAAGGGGCAGGACACGCCGGCAGGTCCCGGGAGACTATGAATAGGTAGTT